ACAGCGCGGCGAGATCGGAGACGTACAGCGGTGCTGCTTGAGCATAGCCACACGATGCGTCATAGGCAAATGACAGGCACGGGCGCCGCGGCAAACCAGGCAACGGAACTGACCTCGGGAAGGGGCTGATGATAATCAGCATCATACAAATCAATGCTGATGTCCCACGGCCTACAACTGCTGCTATCACTGCATATATATTCAGTCTCAGCACCACTCACCGCTACAACCCACGGGTCGGTCCATCACGGGACACCCACGCGTACGCTCAGAGCACGCGTGACGTGTCCACGAACGACACCAACGTGACGCCCGCAGCGCGCTACTCACGCCGTCTGGGATCCACATGATCTTGGTGGTGGGGTAGGGGTGCTCGAAGGTGGAGCGGGCGGAGAACTCGCCGGCGTTCCTCGTCCAGCTGTACCACCATCACCTTATTGTTGTACTCCTCGAATGAAGCTGCCCACGGCCAGCCTGCGGCATGGAACCGTCCGAGGTGAGGGCGTGAGGAGATGGATGGGCGGTCACGTACACAAATCCACCGAGACTGGGGTCGCAGCTGACCGACCTCCTTGGGGAGTCGATGCCATTCGATCGGCACTGCGGCAACAGCACACCAGGGAAAACACAACGACCTTGGAATCACAAATATCCCCATGCGGTGTCCTCTCGACCCGCATCCACAACTGACCTGAAGCGTTTGTCGGGCCGGACGGACCAGTTCATGCTGTACAGCGTCCATGGCGCCCGTACTTGTAGATCTCCTTCCGTTTGGCTGGTGCGAGCCGTGGGCCGCCATTGTGGGCAGGCCCGCGGAGGCGCCCCGAAAGCTGGACGGACACGACAGCCCTCAACACCTCCATCACCGATCATCCGGGCGTTAAGGCGACGTATATGACACCTCAGCTGGACGCTGGAAGTACCGGTAATGCCAGCAACAAGCACAAGCGAGCACTAACCTCCTTGGGGTGCGGACAAGTTGCGAGCCATCCAAAACTGTTTTATCAGTTTGCTTTATCTGGGAAATTGCATTCAAATATTTTTACAACTAATACAATGCTTAGAGGACATCACTTGACAATAAGACAAAACTATATCCAGCTGGAAAATTAAATATGATGCTCCATCATACTCATCACATAATCCGTCACATCTGGCAGCCCAACATTCAACTTGCTCTGCAATGAATGCAAAGTGACTATTAAAATTAATGTTTTAAAAGCACTTGTCATGTTTGCAGTTTAGAGATGGCCAGAATCCAGTCTGCAAAAAGTGGCACAAGGGTTGGCAAGGCACATCAGGCAGACCAAGATTGCTCACCAGGCGGACCAAGCGTGTGCCGAGCAGGCTCAGTTTAACGCACGAACGCGGACGACAAGTGCGCTGAAAGATACCGAAAAACCCACGACTAGTGGAAATGCACAGCACCATTCAAACAAGCTAAACATAGCTCCCAAAACATGCAGGGAGTCACTTATTGATGAGGGGATTACCATCAATGTTTCATGGCATGGAGGATAGCACTGTCAGAGCAATAAACTCAGTGTATGTCTTGCGACAGTTTGTCTTCTTCAAAGGGTCTAAACAAAAATTAAAAAACAATGTTTTTCAAAGGCTCAAAAAGGTTCAAAGGGCTTAGAAAAACAAAATATGCGCACACAAGCGCAGGAAGAATAAAAATTACCTGTAAGATTGGTGTTCACAAATGACAAAATATCACAATTTTGTACATCCTTCCATTCTGTCAGCTTATATGTGTACTGCATGATCAACATCTCAGGCTTCAGCTGCTCTTGGAAGGATGCTATTGCACCATCTTTTTATAACCCCAAATATTTTTCAAAGCATTTATGAACTTGGTATGTCTTTGTACTATCTCTCTATGTTTGATGAGCTTCTGAAAGTGTCTTCTGAACAAGTGTTCTCAGGTAATCACATGGTTATTCCCAATGTGCACTATGCAGACTTGTGCCCAATCCTGTTTCAGTACAACTGATTTGGATGCCACCTAATGTCCGGTGGGTGACGTGGTTAGGCTGCTGCCAACAAAATATGACAGGAATGAAGATCACCTAGACTTGAAAAAATGGGTCAATGTTGGAAACAAACTAGACCCCACCTGAGTTGAGGCAGCAACATAAGCATGACACCATGTTTTACCCATGAAGACCAATAGTAAGTGCACAGTTAATTAACATAGCAAATTATCTGCAAGGTTATGGAAGTCATGTCCTTTATAGGTTCCAGATCCCCATCTTTTAATAATTTTGGTAAATATAGAATGCTTAAAACACAACTACAATTTCCTTATCATTTGCATACTCCAATAATTATTGTCTGACCATCACAGTCAGGACTTGAATGCTTTAAGCCAGTGTATTGCTGCTACTGCAAAAAATCAGAATATAAAGTTTGAGCATAATTGGGCATGAAACTGGTTCAGCATAATGCATATGACAATTACAGAGCAGGTCATAAATGCAGCTGCAGCAAATAAAGTCTGGCACTGCTGGTGTGGGTACTGTCATGGTGCACAATAAAGCAGAGGATAGGTAATGTCAGAAAGACTGTGCATCATAGCAAAATACAGCCTATAGTGAGTGTGGCATGATTGTGGATCACATACCATTAGAGGTTGGACTTGGCTCAACAAATCACCACAAAATTATTTCAACCATAAAATATCGCCATGCAACATGTGAGTGTTCTTAGTTAAAGAAGAGACAGGCTGCAATCTCTTATTTCATGGTGTTTACACTACATAGGTAGCCACCCAGTTTATCCCTGTTTATAAAACAACTTGTGATCTGTCCTTATGTATGTATATATAGATAATGGCCTATGTCAATATCATGTGGTAAAATGCTGTCCTATGGTGACTAGTTGGAGGGCAGAGATACTGGATGTACTGAACAGTAACATGTTTTAAATCAATGCATCCAAGATATTAAGCACATTTTTTGCTTCAAATAGAAGATGGGTCATACATACCTAACAGTGCTAGTTCCTTATCACATTTTGCAGCATTTACTAATTCCAGTATGATAAAAATAGTGTCCGTTATTTCAAAGTTCTATTACATGCAGACCCCATTGTGTACATACAGAAAACTCAAAATGCTGCTGTTGTATGAATTCAGATTGAATTTGCACAGGCCTAATTGTATCTTATGCCAATTGTCAGAATTTGCATTCCATCTTTGTGTATCTGCACCATTGCTCTAGGGGCTAGAATGCCTCCTTGGGATATGACTTAGCCTAGCACTATCCAATCTATTGGCCTAAGAACATATCACAAGTTGAACTTAGTACCTACAACCTCACACACCAGCATAACACTTAGCAAAGATGTGCTAAATTTGGCTGGACAGAATCTGTTACTAAATAGATGGTCACTTATCAGCTGAATTTGTTTCATTGCGGCAGAACTCCTGCCAACCATTACAGCTTCCCCAGAATCACACAATAGAAAGGACATGATACTGTAACCAAATAACAGGTATTGCAGCACTGGCGAAATGAAGCATGTGTTTACACTAGGAATACCAACAATGTTTACACTGAGCGATCTACCCAATAAGCGTAACAGTGTGGAAAAAGGAATTTGATACATGGCAGCCTGTTCAGAATCGGCTTACACTCCACACCGCAACTTTGGTAATACCACACATACCTCTTTTAAAACAAACGCTGCCTTTTGACCCTTCCTATGTCGTTTGCATCTGACACCACATCGCTATTACCTAACCAAAAATAAAACCGCGGACCAACTTCCACCATAACCACACCGAGGGGCAAATGCAGCGCTCCTCCATGTTTGTCGTGTTACAAAGCCTTTAATGATTTTGTGCAATTCAAGAATAAAACTGGTGTATTTATAGATACAGATAATTTCTTGAAATTAAGTTTTGATAAGCACGTTTTCAGGTCTGCGTTTAAAATGCTATTTATCATATTTTAAAACAGTATTGTGAGCAAAATATCAAGCTATAGTACTATCAACCACCCATAGATGACACCCGCAGCGGCGTTGCTATGACAACAATCGTTGAACAAAATTCTATTGCCCCGGTGGTGCGCCGCTGGAGGAGCACGCGTCCGCACAGGTTGTCGGCTGTTGGGGGCGTTACCCACGCGGCCCTGGCTGCGTGCTCCACTCCGGCGCCCATCGCTGAGGCGGGCTTGTCAGCGATATCCGGTGTCTTACATTCATCAGGTCAGTCTTCGTCGATTTCTGACCGGGCTTCGTGGTTTTCAAATCAGCTGATAGATCTATCAATCACTTTTAGATGAGCCGGTTGACGGTAGGGTAATTGTGGCCGGTTATGGCATCGCGTCTCCGTAAATGTGTTAAATGCGGTGGAAGATATTATTGGCGTGTGCGCTTTTGCCGCCTCCCGATATCTGCCGTGTCATTGTCCGCTTGCTGTCGCATATTTGTGTCCGGTAGAGATCCTGTCTCCGTGCCTAAGTATGTATTAGATATTCAATCCAACACATGCCTTCCTCTTAAATTGTTAAGGGATGCGCTGAATTGGATCTTGGGCACATGCGGCTAGCGTTGCGAGCGAATGGGCCCGGTCGATAAGATTGCATTAAATGAAAGTGAGCTGTTAACCCTTTCGTGATCCTTAAACGCGTCGAACGCCCCGAGGGCTTTCGGAACGGAAGCCCGATTTAATGGCGAAGGGGTTCCATGCTTGATGAATGCTGCCCCTTGTTTACAATAAGTACTTCAGACTCATGTGAGCGTCGGGTCTCGTAAAGTTTTACAAAGCACGGGCCATGGGCGCAGCCGACGCAGGAAGTGAGGACACTCTCCCCCCCCCCCCCCCCCCCCGTAGCTTTATATATTCATCTAATATGCATATATAGTTCTTAACTATGCTAAGTCGGCGTGGTGTGCCCCCACTGAAATCCCCCTCCTCAAAATACTTTGGTCTGCGCCTCTGCCAGCGGCCACATTTACCTTGCGCGCCATTTCCGTGTTGTGAAAGACCGCAGCCGACAGCGCATTACTGAATCAGTTGAGCCGCCAGTAATTTAGAGCTAGTTGCTTGTGTGTTCCATCTCGCGTCCTGAGCAATACCATCGCAATTCGCGAAAGTTGGCTCCCAGTTCTTGCCAGCCCCAGCGAGTATGCAGTTGTAAAGTGTTGTACTGAAGACGTTCTCCGAACTCGTTATCTAATCGCTTGTCTTCGGTTAGAATTATTCTAAATGCACGGGTCCAGCCATAAATGGGGTCGGGCGGTGCATGCAACTTAAGCAAAGCAATTCCGTAACTTTGCGGAATTGCTTAAGACATTGCAGGCAAAGGTCACACTTAACCTCGATGTACCCTCCCCCAACTTTGGACTAGTGTCGAAGACACTGTCAGATGCCCTCATAAAATATTTCTTAACAGTCTTGCCATAGCGCAATTAAGAGCATTGTAACGTCTTATCGTCAAACGCGAGTAGGAACGATGCCGTATGAGGGCGCCGTGAATGCAACTGGTAGCGTATGGTTCAAATGTTTTGTTTCGGGTGTATTGTGCCTTTCATTTGACATAGACATTATTAGCATTACGCTTATGTAGTCTTCGTATTGTTAAATCGCAAACGAACTAACAATGTCGACTATTAAATGAGAAGGCGTATATTGCGTGGACGTGACGCCCTCCGACAGTAGTGGCCACGTACCACTGATGTGCCGGCTTCCCACAGCATCCATGCCGAACGCAAAACTTTGCAAACATAGTGCAGCGCAAAGGGCGAATGTACTGCACCCATGTGCCCGAACATGAACTTATATGCTCCTCAATTTCCACAAAGTGCCACTTTGAGCCCCTTCCCGATTTTGCCCATATAAATGCAAGATGCACATGTATCAGTTTTTTGTGTTTCAAAAGTCAGTGTCGAATATCAGAGGGGAGGTCAGGCTGTTCCTTCCAGAACCCAGTTTGGTCCCTCAGCCGTGATATGGCCCCACCAAATCCCAGAGTAGTGGTCACACTCATGAGTCCCAATGTCTTGAACGGGCAAACCACAATGTTGTGAGGATATTGTTGGAGCAGGGGCGACAACGGCCTTTTTTTAGGTTTCTGTATGTGACCTGCTATGCACCATAATATTAGGGATGTTCTCCCAAAATAGAATGAGCCCGACAGGGCTTCCTTCCGTTTTGGACCTGAGCAACCTGCTTGCCGATTTGCCTAGCTGGTGGCTTGCTGGTTTTTTCGTTGACATTTTAGCGACGATTGATAAGTGGAATAACCCTGCGCCAAATTGTCGGGCGATATCTTAGGCTCCGCCTAATATAACAAGTTGGTAGTTCATACTAACGCGATCGGTGTCGGTGCTAACAATTAGCCATGCGCTCATTTCGTACGGAAGACTCAAGCGGTGCGTATTGTAATTACGTTAACCTTCTCCGACATGGATTAACAAAGACGCAAGATATACTCAATCTTGGGCTATGGGTTAAGTTCTTTGGGGCTTCGGCGATTCACCAGTAAATGACCTCATTTGGGGGGGGGGGAAGGGGAGAAGGCCATCCTAAAAATCTTACCATGCGCTGTAATTTATGGCACTATCACGACCGATGTGGTTTTTAGTGAACCTGGAAGTTTTCAGTCGCTCCTAAAAATCATGTCTTTGAGGTATAGCGTTTCGTAACTTACATGTTGTCGTGTTTGAGCTGAGCTAAGGACATTGTCACGCCTGCCAAACCCCAAAACATGACGTTCAGCACCGCACGTTATATCCGTCTTGGAAGCCAGGTAAGGCGTTAGGCCTCCAAAAAACATCTTTGAGCGGAATGCGTAACAAGTTACGGCAGTGAAGCATATCTTTATAATGGTGTTTTAGTCCTTGTCCCGGCAGAAAACGACGCTGAGAAGTCGCAGTATTTCGGTTGTTTGAGATGTGTTACTTCGCCTCGGCTGACACCGCGGATGGCGAATATGCTCCGCTCCGTGTTACATCGTCGGACAAGCCGGCACATCTTAGCCGCAATTGCCCCAATCACCCGCATCATAACTCAGTAATCTGATGAGATCTTTACTCACAACAAACTTCCAACATTGTCTCCCCAAAATTTCGCGATTTAAGATCGAATTTTTCGTGAGATATAGGTACGGTGCAGCCACTGGTTTAAGAGCATGGGAGAGCCTGTGATCTGTGCTGTCATGTTCCTGCTCCGTAACCCCTGGTGAATATTTAAGGACAGACCATTGGCGTCATATGGAGAGGGGACGGGGACGGGTAAGGCATATGGGTCACCAGTCACGATACGCAACGCGTATGTACAGTCCAGTCACTTTAAAAGCGCTGAGAGCAAGCAAGGCCTGTGAGTTCTGGTGCGCGGACCCTTCTGTAATGCGGCTCTCTATGGTTTGTGCATAGTTTAAAGCCTGGCACTATCCTCAGAGGCACGACACATATTGCCAAGTTGAGTTTTCCTCCGAAGTTGCTGGAGTGGAGGTCGCTGGTGGAAGCGTGCATGCGTCCGCCGCCGATATCACCGGACCGACTTTTTCGTACCAGCCTTGGGCATGTTTTATTTGGACGCGTCAGCACGCGATGCCCGGCGGCGGAGCCGGCGAGCCGTCCAACTTCTAGTGGCTACCCGAGCGGGAGTACATATCCGCCAAAGGGGAAAACAATCGAGACTACCGATGTCGACTGCATTTATGGTATTTTATTGTACTCGCGTTTCCGGCGGAATTGGGTCTCAACAATGGGCCTCGCTGACACAAGGTCATAGCGGCGAACTATTCGAGCCGTAGGTCTCAGAGGTCAGTTGTTCCACGACATAAAACAGCCTGTGTCTACACGCACGCACGAAAACGACAAACCAGCATTGTTTCTCACAAGTGAAATCTCAGGCTTGAAGAACGTTAACCGTGGATGGCATCATCAATCACCTAGATATGCTCTTCATTTGGCCTCTTGAAATCTTGCGATATCTTGCTGCTGCCGCGCGCAAACGCCCATGACGCATTTGCCAAGCGACCAAACACTTGATTCCCGGAAAGAAGCCTAGGCCGAGGAGACCGGTGACATGGGATCAGCGCGATTCGCTGCCACTTCCACTGCTCCCGTACGCGCACGTTTAGGTCCGCTGGCGACGTACGGTCAAAATCAGAGCACGGGTCGGCTAGATAAGGGTCATATGGGGCGAGATTTCCTGTCCTCGGCCGGTCATCTGACGACGACGTCGATGGATGAATGCTGGCAAGCGTGAGCCCAGTGCGGACCGGGCTTCACTGCCGCTGATCGGCAAGCATGTCGTGTCGTACTGCGGATGTAATAGCTGATTGCGAGGAGGTGGGCCACGCACATTTTTCCAACATGTTCTTGAATTATATCAGCATTTGTGATTGAACACCCCTCCCGACAGGCTGTCACGGTTTTACAAGCTAATTAATGACATTTAAAGGTGCCTGGCGCTATTTTTATGTCATCTACATGTGCATCTATTTATCCGACACGGTTTTCGCACAAGGTTGCAACGTGACCAAAACTGGTCTTCCCCATTCGATTAATATGATAGGGGTTGAGTTTGCAAGTTGCAGAAAATTGACGCAACACCAGGACCCAGATCTGGATAACCCGTGGCGATATGCGTACAACACGGTTTGGGTGAGAAAGGAATGAGCAGTCGTGTTGGCAAAAATGTGCCTCACTGCGGGGCACGGAACTCTCGAACACGGAGCTGGTCACGGACGCTGGACAACACACCGTACATTCGCCGGTTTGTGTTTTTTTTTGTCAGGCCGTGGCAACCGGAACGGGTAGATTTGAAATCATTTGCGCAGTGTAGTTGATTGCACGTTGTACAAATTACCCACCCAGCTCAGTCCTGTCGTCTGAACCTAAGGGTGCCAGCAGTCGACTGGGAAGTGACCACTGTCGACTTGAAAAGCGTCTCGAGAAGGCATGTTGCCGGGTCGGAGCTGCAGAGGCTCAGACGCACTGGTCGTTGGGCTGGTTGGCCCGGTTACTTAGAGTACTCGACCGCACGCCAACTGTGAAGTGTTTTCATTGGACAGGCTCAGATTCGCCTGGTTTGAGTGATCGTGGGTTAAGTTTAAAGCGAACTTGTATCAAGTCAAAGTTAAGCTTAAAGGACTAAGAATGTGGGTTACCGCTCACCACCGGTCGCTACGTGGGTCCCGACGACATCCTGGCATTGCAGTGAAAGGGTCCCAGTGACTGAGCAGCTATAATTG